TGTACCCAGCATTCACAAGGTAATATGTACCTACAAGTGCACATAATTGAGTAAATCTAAAATCTTCAAGAAACTTAGCAAATAACCAATTCTCTAAAAAATAGTTTTTGTGACCTTAGCACATTCCACCTTCAACCCATTCCTTCTTGTGATGGCATCTCGCAATACCCTAAAATCAGCGGTAGACCCCTCCCACCCAGGCAACACGTAGATAAATTTCATGTCTTGCCAACAAATGCCCAACATATTAGTTGTTGTCAACCCCTTCCTGTTCCTATATCTACCTTGGTGTAGGAGGGGCATTTTGGCTCTATCATGTGTGTCATCTAGTGCCCTTACACATTCATATAAGCATTAATTACGATGAAAATAATTGAATACAAAGGTGTAGTTTATATTTTATTAGGAAATAATGATAACCATGTTATATACAACCGACTACCTTGAACCACCGCCAATTGGGATCACTGCACCCATCTGAAACTGGTTCACGCCTCTTTAAAAGTAATCACCTCAATTTTAGAACAGCTTGTAGAACAGCGTTGAAGTGTCTACTCATTGTCTCCCCAAACCTAATGAAATTGAACTTAACTGGATAATTTTTGTCATCATGTCCTATGACACTCAAGAACATCGCAACCATCTCTTCAACACGCACATTCTTTGTGCTGGTAAGCCCATCGACTTCCCTAACTAAGCAACACAACACGTAAAATGTATGTCTATCCATCCTAAGTTTTTCTACACATGTTCTATTGCTTTCTCCAATAAGCCTATGGAGATGCTCACTTCGTTCACGAAACCTATCGACTGAATTAGTCAATACCTGTGTCTTTCACTTTTCATTGGTCCATAATGCAATCATAACCATCAAAATACAAGTACAAACAATAACGAACTCTCTGACCAAATTATTAACACCAACAAGCAAAGCTGATACATTGTCATATTTATGAGTCATACTCACTGAAATAATAAGACAAAAACCTCCAGTATATTAATATTAATAGTTACAAAATAATTTTGCAAAAAAATTAACTTTAATGTTTCTCTATGTATGTCTGTATGTTTGTGTGTGTCTCTGTGTGTGTGTTTGTATATGTGTATCTATGTGGGTGTGGGTGTGTTCCCTGTGTGTCTGAAATCTATTCTATGATGCAAATATATATAGGAAGCTACCCAGCACAACTTTCAACTCTTATAACAAAATTTATATAAGTTACATTCTAACATTTAAGCAACATAAAACAAACAATGTAGTTCTAAAATAAAAGTTAAAGTAGAAACATGAATCACCGTCTTTTTCATTGTACTCATGTTGGGCCACAAAGTTCTCTTACTCTTTATTTTATAGTCACCTATATACTGATAGATAGAACTGTTTTTTTAACGAAATAGTCAATGAAAATAACTTGTTCCTAACGCATAATATGTGTATTTTATAGGTGGGTGTTTTCTATGGAACCAATGTGGGTTTCTTGGGTTCTTATTCTTAATTTCCAAACTTTCACTTATTCTTCTTCTTTTCCTTCAATATATGTAAGGCACTTGTTAGAAGTAGTATATATATATATGTAATTTCATACGCAATTACATTCAAGGGAGTTGGTTAGAAAATATTCAATGCTCACAAGGTATTTTGAATTTGAGTTTGATGACTTTGGTTTTAATTTGAGTGTTAATTTGGTTGTTAATTTTGAATGTTAATTTGGTTCGAGGATTTATTGCATTCTATACAACTATTTTTGGTAAAATAGTTCAAAACAATAATGAAAACATGCCTACAGTGTGGTCTGGAGTTTAGTAGATTGGGTTTTTATAGGCGAAATAAAGGAGTGAGACCAGTAGATAGGAAGGTCTATATTGATGGACCTCAAGAAATGCAAAATTTGAAGGTTGGAGTGTTTTCATTTTCATGTAGGTTATTGCTGATCATAAAGAGATGTCAATATGAAGATACGAAGAAAAACCATATTTCACAAATGTTTTCCACTAACCTCCAGATCTTCGATGGCCTGATCATTACAAACTTCTCCCTTATAAAACTTTTCAAGCAGATGCTTAATATAAATGCCAAACTGCAAAACACATTTTCAGGCGAAATGAAAAAATGGAGAACAAAAAACGTCGAGGATATTACCAAAAAAACATAAAACATAAAACAAAGTGCAAACCATTCCAGATAACCACCCCAACCCAGCCCTCGGCTTGTACGAAGAAAAGAAGAAAATAAAAGACAAATGAAGCAAAAAGAAATGAGGAATTACCTCGGCTAGATGTGCTTCTATCGAAAAATAGGAGGGCTTTATATAGCCCAACCGAAGCATCTTCGAACAATAATTGAGTTGAAAGGGCGAAGAATCTCTCTTCAACTTCATCCCTAACCATTATTTTTCTTCCATCGGTGGCAGAGAAGAGGACAAGTTTCTTCCCTTCCTTAGAAATCTCCATCTTGAGCGAATCTCTCTGCAACGACGCATCCAACCGTTGATTTCTTCCATCGTTGCCAACGAAGAGGACAAACGTCCCCCCTTTTCCTAGACATCAATCTTTCACAGAGATTTCCTAGAGATTGTGTTGATCAGGCAATTTCTCGAAGAAAGACTCTCAGAGATTGTGTTGATAGGGTTATGGAGAATAATTATTTTTTTGTATCCTAAACCTGTTAACCCTCTTCCGAAACCCACCCCATCTTCGGGTTTGATGAAACCCATGATTTGGGGTTAAAGGTTCAGGCCAACTACAGGCTGGGCTTGGTAACCTAGGCTTCAATTTTTTTGTCAAATATGGATTTTGTGTGTCATTTGAATTATATTTTCTCAACCCATCTTCCAAAGTCCACTCAGTCCCACTAACCAAACTACCCCTAAAGGCGTGGGCCTTGGATAGAAAGGCTCTTGTTGTTTATGAATGAATATGAGGGGTTAAGTGGAAGTTAAAAGTTGAGGGGGTGATGTGCAATTAACTTTTAGTTTATGAGGTTTTTTTAGTGATTTAACCCAATAAATTAGGAGAATTTTACATTGTACCATAAAAAAATTAAGATTTTTTATTTCATACCTTTAAAGATTAAATTTCTCATACTATACATTCAATATATTAAAAATATTGTAATGTATTTCTTCTGTTAACTTTCATTACTTATTTTGTCAAAGATTAACCAATTAACATAAACAAATTGAGTAATGAAAGTAGACAAATAGATCACATTATAATATTTTTAATATATTATAATATAATAAAAAAAACTTATTATTAAAAATATAAATAAAATATTTTAAAATTTTCAGGATACAAAATGAAAATTCACCCCAATAAAATGGGCAAATTCTAGTTTACCCCCCTCGTAGTTTGTTCCTTGAGCAAATGACCCCTTATGATTTGGAAATAAACACATCACCCCTTATGAGTATGGACTAAACTGCAACTGTTAGGTTTTTTGTCAAAATAGACGGAAGTGGAGGGGACGCGCTGGTTTGATGATTGATCAACAAAGTTATCAGTTTCCCTCCAAAATAAATATACCCAAATGTCAAAAATGACCCTCTTATGCTAAGTTAAAAGCGATTTTCATTTCCTTCGAAAGTTGCTGTCTGGAGCTAGACTTGCTGCTATCTGGAGTTGGTGGAAGGAATTAAGTGTATACTTTGAGGTATAAATTGTTTTAATTGAAACTTTAAGGGACTAAAAAGAAATTGAGTGTATACTTTGAGGTTTAAATTGTAAATTAACCTACAAAGATAAATCAAAGAGAGAAGGCTTTACACTACCATCTTGATTGTCTTCTATCTGAGCCTCTGAGGGTAGAGGAAATAGATGTCATACTCCTCGGCCTTCCACAAGCTCATCTTTATGGCTTCCAAACCCCAGCGCCTCCATCAGTGTAATCTCTCTCCCTTTCTCTCTCTCTCTCTAAGTCGACCTTACAAAGCGCAACAAAGAAGCTAAGAATAGTGACCAGTGACCACTGAGTCCTCTTCCATGAAAGACGTTTGTTTCGATTAGGGTGATTGGGGGTTTGAGTTTGTGCTCTGCAAATAGGTAGTATTGTAAAACCCGAGCAAATAAAACTTTTGCTACAAGGCATCATCCACAATTCTGTGATAGGATAAGTTTCTTTTCATATTCAGTAACAATTTCCTAAAGTTTCTTTAGTGGCGGGGGTGTATAGTGAGAGAAAATCAAAATTTTAAAATTTTTGGGTATTCAAAATTTTGAGTTTCGGAGGTGAAGGGTGACCTAATCCACCATTTTTAGGGTCAAGGAATCCATTTTTGAAGTTAGATTCGAGAAAAAAATGAGGTTTGGTGGGTGAAAAATTGAATTAAAAATCGTGACAATTTTTGAAAATGATGAACCTGTCACTTTGGAGCTCGATTTTCACTTACCTTGTGCATGATCTGGATAAACTAAATACATGGTTGGAAAGAGGATAGAAATAGGTTAAATTTAGGCATTTGAATCACCCAAAAAGGTTAAGAAACGAAGGAGAAATTAAGGACCAAAGTTGGCCCAAATGTTGAAGAAAAATCTTGTATGTACATAACTTGTCAAAATGAGTTTGTGATTACCTTTGAGTTTAAATTCGTGGGTCATGGGGGCTATTTAAGGAAACAAGTCTGTGGGGTTTAAAACTAGGTTGTGAGTGGAAGATATTAGCATTGGTTTGAAAAAGTTTGGTGCTTTGTGGGGAGAGAAAAAAACTTGTAAAATTAGGTGTTTGGTTAATTTTTCAAAAAATTATACAACAATTGAGAGGGAGGAAGAAGATGATGAATAGTTAAGGGTACTAAAATCATTTTATCACTTCTGTTTACAGCGTTAATGGTGCATATCGGTCCAAAAGTATAAAAGAGTAATGTTCTGATTTTTAAATCATAGAGGGATCATATGCAAAACACCCAAACCACAAGGGGATAAAGTGAATTTTGCCCCCAATAAAATTGAGGTCAGCAACGGTAAAGACTGTAATACAAAAAAGTTAAGATTAGAGAATAGAGATAGATAAGACTGGTGAGCACTAGCTGACCACTGTTATCGACTCGTTGGGTTTCTCCGGAGGAGTGACAAGTGAGTGGGGAATGGGATTGTTCCTGTTTATGATTTAGTCGCTAGCCAAGCAATCGACTATCATTTGCATTATTTATTGTTAAAATTGAACAGATTTCAATGCACAAATGGTGGTTTTGATTGTGTAGTTGGTAGGAGAGCGAGGGAGAGAGACTCGTCGTCAAGCTTCAGAACAGGTGAGTGCTTCTTATCTCCTGAAAACACTTACCATTCAGCGGAAACTTCAGTAGTCTCGTCCCCTCAATTTTTGTTAATAGATTTAATCCGTATGCACGATGGTAAACCATCAATTTGTTAAAACTTACTATAAAAGATTTTGGGAGGGTGCGCCACATTAAGGTTGCTCCACTATAACCTAGGTATCATATATTCGAGTTGTGGTAATTCAGCGCACCGTTCTGCAGTTTTTCACAATAGATGCTTTGGAAGGTTTTCTTATGAACCTTATTATTTACAGTAGGTTGACTATACAGTTCCAATAAACGCTCTAGAAAACTTTCCCAGCCAAAAAATAATTGCTACAAAGTGTTCCCATTGCCATCAATGAGAGTTCAAATAGCTTTACTTCAACCATGACTTTTTCAGTAACCCAAGTGCATAATTTTTTAGGTATTGAATAGAATACTATTATTATCTCAAGTTTGATGATGAATTTTTTTNCGAAGCTCTGGGGGTGCCTGACAAGCAACTTGGGAAAATGCTACTACTAAATCCAAGAATCATCAGCTACAACATTGAAACAAAGCTTTCACAAATCGTGGATTTTCTCGCTAGTCTTGGTCTGACCAAAGAAGGGATGATTGGTAAAGTTTTGGTGAAATACCCATTCATTATGGGTTATAGTGTTGATAAAAGGTTACACCCAACTTCAGAGTTCCTGAAATCAATAGGTCTGACAGAATTGGATATTCAAAGAGTGGCAATTAACTTCCCTGAAATTTTGTGTAGAGATGTGAACAAGATCCTGAGACCTAATTCTACTTACCTGAAGACATGTGGGTTTGAATCTGGACAGATAACAGCTCTGGTAACTGGTTATCCACCAATTCTGATCAAAAGTATCAATCATTCTTTAGAACCGAGGATCAGGTTTTTGTTAGACGTGATGGGGAGACAAATTGAAGAAGTTGCTAGCTATCCTGACTTCTTCCGGCATGGTTTAAAGAAAAGACTGGAATGGAGGCAAAAACGTTTGAAACAGAGGAATATACATTGTAGCCTGAGTGAAATGCTGGACTGTAATCAAAGGAAATTCTTAGAAAAGTTTGGTTTAGTTGAGAGATTTGCCTAAAGTACTATTGGCACATTTTTGTTTATTCCTGCATTCAATTTTTTAGAATTTGCTCAATTAGCTCTTGTGGTTTAAGTACGTATCCTTTGTATTCTACTTGTTTCAGTTTTGAGCAAGCCGATAGGGATTAAGCTCTTCGTCTTTAGCAGATCTCGGAGTTATCCTTTTTCTTTTTCTTGTAAGATAGATCTGAAGTCCTTTAATGTGGAACCACGGTTCTACACCTATTCTCCATTTTGTGTTTTGTTCCTTTGACTTTCCTCCAAAGCTCATTTCTAATGGAGATCAAAGGGTCACTCTTCGAAGTAGTACGACCAGTCCTATCCAACCCCAATGCTCCCTTTCATCAACAAAAGGGGATTGCTTGTCATGGCATTCCTGGAAAGAATTCGTTAAGTTGGAGAGAGAAAGAGAGAGAGAGAGAGAGAGAAGCGATGAAGCCCCTCACGAAGAGGAGGCAACCTGCAAAACAATATCAGCAATAGATCCAAAACAATCTCTTTTGAAGCAAGAAATTTGATTTACAGTCTTCTTTTGTTTTCCACAAGCAACGGTAGTTCCCCAATAAAACCGAGCCCAAGAAAACTTCATCGTCAACTGATCAGTTACAAGGACGTTTTCCACATAATCAGTAACTTTCTCTGACCAACTCCCACGTCGAAACACACGCCCACACAGAAAAACCCTCAATGCACTAAAACCAGTTCGACTCAGATCATGGAAGGCTACTGATTTAGTTCCGCAGAAATGCTACTGTGGCTACCCGTGATCCAACTGATCCTCCAAACATGAATGTTGGATATGAGCGAACGTGATCAAGGTAGCGGAATGGAGGGGGATCTCTGCATGCTGCTTGGTCACCCGGGGTCTCAGGTTCCTGGGATGCACCAACTCTTCTTTGGTTGAAGTTATCCACTTCTTGCACCAATTCATCTTTCGTACTATTGCAGGATGTAATCACCTATGGTAAGGAACAGTAAGAATCTAGCAAAATCAGGTGGAGTGAAAAGACTAACCAGATAAAAATAAATCTCATGTAATAACTTGGTATTGGGGATATCAACTTTGTACATGTTTTTGAATGGGAGAAACCATCCTTCAGTAGGAATGATTCAAGATAGCCTTGGTTTGTAAAATAGAAGAAAATCTTATACACTACGTCAGATTGTCACTTTACAAAGCATTATTTAGATGACAACTACAGCAACGACAAGATAAACATTTCCCACAGAAGAAATAGAAGCAAAAGAGATGCTCACCAATAGTCCACCAGGAGCCACAAGCCTCAAAATTGAGTCCCAATACATGATCCTGAAATAAAGGAACAAATGACTGTAACTTCTACATCCAATCAGACTCTTTAATGTTTTGTGCCAATGAAACATGAAAATATTAATTGGTTGATCCAGCGAGAGAGAGGATTATGGGACTAAAGGAAACTGTTTGCTCTTACATACACAAGTATGACCCAGCAAGTATGAGAAGTATGATCACATCACACATGCCCAAACATGAAACCACAAGTTAAATAAGATTTAAGCCTCCTTGCAACATACTACTTCACCTTTTAATAGGGCCATCAGGATGCAATCCAATGGCATCTAAAGTCCCCTTATCTATAACAAGCTCAAACTTCCTATCTAACTTTGTTTCAAGTATATCGTCAACCTGAAAACCAAATTAAATTAAAAAGTCAATAAATCAAACAAGACGTAATAATTGGCAAGGTATAAAAAGAGTTTATACAGTGATATAAGATTCTAGGATTGAACATCTTCTTAATCGTAGTTGTCTCAGTAAAAATGAGTGTAACACAAGAAATAGAGTTTTTGGATATGTGAAGGCAATCAGTTTGCTTGCAGTTAACAAAAGATCATAGTTTTCCAAATACGAGAATATTCCAAAACATCTCAATGCCATGGAAAGTCCATACCACCACAATCAAAGAATCCTTAACATCCAACTCAAAAGAAGAAATCTAAAGTAATGAAGCAAACAGGATTAATTTTACTGAGGACTTGAAAAGCCATCAATTCAAAACTTCACCTTCTGGAGCTAAAAGGGTTCATTCCAAATGAGGTGTGTGTAATATATGAGAACAGGTTACTGAGATCATGATTCATATTAATTTCAAAGTTACCAATAATTTAATATTGGAAAACCCCTGACGATCGGCAAGGCTTCTAGCAAGATCAATTGCTCCTTCACTATAATCAGTTCCAGTGAGATCAGAGAACCTGAATACAAAAACATGACAAGTTGGTATCTTCTGAACTGTGGTCATATGAAAATATCAAATATCGAGATTGAACTTGAAAGAAATGGCAAATGCTAGAACCAATCTATCACAATTAGCTTGTGAAAGAATGACCAGCATGTCTAATGTCTACAGACTCGTGTTAGAGCAAATAAATTGACTAAAGCCACTACTTAATTTCCTCAGACATAAATATTGAATTTCTGCCAATTGGTATCTTTTTGAGTTGTATACAAACTCTATTGTGAGAGTTTGCCTCAGAAGAGCCTTCAAAAGGTCTAGGGGCAAATCCAGAATTATTATGGGCCTACAAGCCTCACTAAAGCCTTTTTGGAAGGGTATTATCTTGCCATATTGAATGTATCAACCCAAGTTCCTTTGTTGGCGGACCTTTTTGGGCCCAGAAGGGAAATTATTAGATAGAATGAACGAAAAAGTACCATTAAGTTGAACATTACAAAAGGTGAACAAGATATCCACCAATAAAAAAACAAAGAGTAATGCTGGATGAACTTAAAAACTAGACTTAAAAATTAGACTTGATAATCTTAACCATTGAATAGGTAATGGGTCCCACTTAAAAACTAGACTTAAAAATTAGACTTGATAATCTCAACCATTGAATAGGTAGTGGGTCCCAATAAATGCTGGGACTCAGTGAAATCAATGGTTGAGATTATCAAGTCTAGTTTTTAAATCTACTTTTTAAATCCATGTAGCATTGCTCAAAAACAAAAAGGAAATACAAACTAAAACCATTAACGAGAACCCTCTAACTAATTGTCATGATCCAATCTACACTAAGAAGCATGGACACGGAACACCGATACGACACGACACGGACATGTCGACACAACATTTCTCAAAAAAGTACGATACGGACACGATGAGGACATGCTACAAAAAAAATTATATTTTATATATAGCATTATATAATTTATTACAAATATAGTGATAATGATATACAATTCGTAAAAGATTAGGTATTTTATGATAAGTAAATCTAATATCTAGTCATCTTTGTGAATTTTTAGACTAAAGCATCCTCATAATAATCAGTAATCATCAATGTTTTTTTTAGACAACGTGTACCTAATACATAATTTCAATAATTGCTCTTACTTTCTCAATTTCTCTTTTTTAAAACTTTTATGCATCTTTTGTTTTTATTATTATATTTGGAATACAATTTTAACATGTCTAGTATTAATAATTATATGTTCTAAAATTTTTAAACTTTGTTAATCACATTTCAACACATGTCTATTGTTTAGTAGTACACACGTTCTAAAGAAGTGTCGGACACGTCACCAAAAAAGTGTCCGACACGTGTTCGAATTTAAAAATTTATCATTTAATTATGGATACGGATAAAAAAATATCGGACACGTGTCCGAGAGTGTCCGAAAAATATCGGTGTCTGACACATGTCCAACACGGATACATCACCTTCTCGAGAGTGTCCGTGCTTCATAGACACTAAGGGTAAAGAACGGCACATCCTTAAATTCTTTAGAGACCACCGCCTAGAAGGGGCCAACNTAATTATGGATACGGATAAAAAAATATCGGACACGTGTCCGAGAGTGTCCGAAAAATATCGGTGTCTGACACATGTCCAACACGGATACATCACCTTCTCGAGAGTGTCCATGCTTCATACACACTAAGGGTAAAGAACGGCACATCCTTAAATTCTTTAGAGACCACCGCCTAGAAGGGGCCAACAACTTTGTCCCATAAAAACTCGGCGTATTATTGCTTGCCATTTAAAAGTCATCTACATATTTCCATCCATATCATCCAAATAATTGTTATAAGCACACATTCCCCCAGCATGGAAGCCCTAGATCAGCTCCCCAAAATAGCACAATTGATCTCAAATAAATAANTTCTATTTTTGAGTTGACCGAAACGGTACTTCGAAACGAAATTTTGATCCTTGTTTATGCCACAAATTTAAAGCCAAATGACAGTGGATAGAAAGATCATCCACACTCACAACTTCTCATNCACAATTGATCTCAAATAAATAAACAATCCCTTAAAGAGTTATCCAAATCAAGTTAAACTCTCCATAAGCTTTATGCCACAAATTTAAAGCCAAATGACAGTGGATAGAAAGATCATCCACACTCACAACTTCTCAGNCATTGAATAGGTAGTGGGTCCCAATAAATGCTGGGACTCAGTGAAATCAATGGTTGAAATTATCAAGTCTAGTTTTTAAATCTACTTTTTAAATCCATGTAGCATTGCTCAAAAACAAAAAGGNCACACTCACAACTTCTCAGTAACATAACGCACCATTGAGGATGAGGAGGTAAAGTATTCAATCCTTTGCAAAAAATCACATGTATCGATCTTACCGTGAGCCACAATCCAGGCAAAAACATGCACCTTATCGGGCACTTTGGACTTCCAAATCATCCAATGGGGTTGATTATTAAGGTGTACATAAGTGCAATATTAAAATATAAAAGTGAAGAGAATTGTNACCCTCTAACTAATTGTCATGATCCAATCTACACTAAGAAGCATGGACACGGAACACCGATACGACACGACACGGACATGTCGACACAACATTTCTCAAAAAAGTACGATACGGACACGATGAGGACATNAAAAGTGAAGAGAATTGTCATTTGAAGGTGTTAGAGATCTACTTTCCCAATGTTCATCTCTACATATTCACTCAAGAGAAAAGACTTCTTTGCCCCATCACATAAGTATACTCCTTCCTTTTTTCAATTATCTTTNGTCATTTGAAGGTGTTAGAGATCTACTTTCCCAATGTTCATCTCTACATATTCACTCCTCAAGAGAAAAGACTTCTTTGCCCCATCACATAAGTATACTCCTTCCTTTTTTCAATTATCTTCTGAACAAAACCTTTCAATTGCAGGGATAAAATCACACAAGTGTAAGTTTAGAACTTTTGTTTGTTAATTATAAGTTTAGAACTTAATAAATGATGGTGACCCACAAAATGGAATTTGGGATCATCCTGAAAGAAAAAATAATAACAATCAAGGGCTTGATATTACAGCGTAATTCTTATTCTCGTTCGTTAGATAAAAATAATTGAACCTATTGCATTTGACCCTATTTGCTTCAATCAAAACTTGTGTAACAAACCACAATTCAAAATGCAACCTAAGACGCATGAACACTCGAAGAAGGCATATCTATGTTGGACACTTGTTGAATATCGATTTTTCTTGGACACTCAGACAAATATACAATATTCTTTTGGTTAAGTCCATATCAAAACCCTTAGTTTTGGACATGTGTACACTTTTTTGGGTCTGACTCTTCTTAGGCGGTGTCAGTGACTATAACATAAACATGTGGTCAACAATATGTGCCCACCTAAATTTGGAAATTCGACATCATAATCTTGTACTATAGAAATATTCCTACTTGTTAAAAGTAATTACATAAAAGTTTTACTTGAAATGTAGTGAAAAAAGCAAAAGAAACANAGTGACTATAACATAAACATGTGGTCAACAATATGTGCCCACCTAAATTTGGAAATTTGACATCATAATCTTGTACTATAGAAATATTCCTACTTGTTAAAAGTAATTACATAAAATTTTTACTTGAAATGTAGTGAAAAAAGCAAAAGAAACAAAAAAAAGGTCTTATAAAAGAAGAGGATTTCGAAAAGGGAGAAGAATTGTTATAATTTTGTATGTTCACTACACTTTGTCTATGAAATTGGTTCATTATTGACTACAATGATGTATTACTCTAAATATTCTGGTTAAGTACTAAATATAAGATTTTGTCAAGAGTAATGATTTTCTTGTTTTGGTAGTTAAATAATATGTACTATAATCTGATATATAAAACACCAATGTTGTAGTGTGCCCTAAGTGTGTTCATATCCTGCTTTTTTCAAAAATTTACTGCATCAACATGTCCACAATGTGTCGTGTCCGTATCTATCGTCTGTGGCTGTCCTTTGTAATAGTCTCTTGAGATGNATAAAACACCAATGTTGTAGTGTGCCCTAAGTGTGTTCATATCCTGCTTTTTTCAAAAATTTACCGCATCAACATGTCCACAATGTGTCGTGTCCGTATCTATCGTCTGTGGCTGTCCTTTGTAATAGTCTCTTGAGATAACGATTCTTGTTTTTTGTCTAACGCCGAAGAAAATTACATGGTTTTAGTTGCTTCTAGATATTTTTTCACCCTTCCCTCTTCTCTTTCCATACATACAATAAGGAATCTCCAGGAGTTTTCTGTTAAGGAGACAATGGGCTTTGGAAAAGATTCCCCAAAGTCAAATTATCCTTCAATAAAAGAATCAAAGTCCTGGGTATCATAATGCTAGGATCTAAAGTTAAACCGTTTAGTAACTTTAGACACTACCCCCACTTAATGTCTTCCAATCTATACAAAACTAGATCACGTAACAAAGCCTAGTGCAAAAATATTGACTATGATCAAGCTATGTTTTATTTGAAATGGTACAAAATACAAGACTTGCTAGCAAATTTCAAATATTACCCTTGGTTGGCAAGCTCTTGAAGAAGTAAACCATTGCCCGTGCCAACATCAAGCACACTCCAACTAGACAGATCTTTTTCGCAATACCCAGCAGGCTTAGAATTGGCATCATCAACATGGTTCGGCAAGTGACCTTGAGAAATGTCAATGCATAAGCTTTTGGTCCAGGAAGCAACAATTTCCATAACATCAGCTCCAAACCTACAAAGCCAAAGAGAACAAAAAGTGTATTCAATGAAGTTTGCTACATAAAAGAAAACTCCAAAAGACAGCGACCATCCTCCTTTTCGAGGCTTCACTCTTTCTTTTTCATTTTTTTTGCACTTTTTTTAATTTATTTATTTATTTATTTTTTTTTTGTTGGGGGGGGTTGACATACTCTAGAGACTCACGACAAAGCACCACCTATGATCATGCTAGAAGAGAATTACTCCCACGAGATACTCACCTTTACCATTTAGCTATAACAACCCTTTAGCATTTTTCTTGTATTAAAACCATTATATTGTACACAAATCAAATCAAAATTGTACAGATATTAAGAATATGTAACCAAGATGAATATAAAAATATGTCATTATATTGGTGAACTATTTCAAGACGTTTGGAGACAAAGTCACGCCTTATGACCTCTTTTTCACCACCACAAAGTCAAAGGCTCAAAGCACCAAACGTCTACCAACACAACTTAAATATAACATAAACCTTTGTTATATTTATGGAATTAGTCAAATTGAACATATAGCGTCATCGTTCATTGGAATCCATCTGGTCAAACCCTAGATCACATAGAGCGTAAACATGAGCGGGAGCGCAAAAGCAACAATATTCAACAATATGTGAGAGCAGGAGCGCCTTTGAGAGCGCCATATTTT